TCCGACTGGCGCCCTCTGGCGGCCAAGCGGCGGGCGGCGGGGTCGACAACCCCGGGGAAGACAGGGAAGGGACTGGGGCGACAGTTTGCAGAAAGAGGGGCGTGGCATTTAGGATGCGCAGCAGAGGCTGGTGTCCCCCGTCCGTACCCTGCAGCACCTGTCACTCCTGAACATGTAAACGCACACCCGCATGCAAACACGCATCAGCGGCGCAAACATCTGCTCATTCTCTCTCGTTCTGGGGCAGCAAGTCCCAGAGGAAGGTGTGGGCGGGGCTGTGTCCCTCTGAGGCCGAGGGGACTCTGTCCCAGGCCCCTCCTGGTTCCTGGTGGTGGCTGGCGTTCTTGGCTTGCGGAAGCCTCACCACGGTGTGTTCTGTGTGTGTCTGCATCCAAATTTCTTTTTTTTTTTTTTTTTAAGACAGAAGTTTCACCGTTGGTCAGGCTGGTCTTGAACTCCCGACCTTAGGTGATCCGACCTCAGGTGATCCGCCTGCCTTGGCCTCCAAAGTGCTTGGATTACAGGCGTGAGCCACCACGCCTAGCCAAAATTTCCTTTTTTTCCCCTTCCCCTTGAGACAGTCTGGCTCTGTCTGCCAGGCTGGAGTGTAGAGCCATGATCTCGGCTCACTGCAACCTCTGCCTCCTGGGTTCAAGCAATTCTCCTGCCTCAGCCTCCCGAGTAGCTGGGACTACAGGCGCGCGACACCTGCCCAGATAATTTTCGTATTTTTAGTAGAGATGGGGTTTCACCTTGTTGGCCAGGCTGGTCTTGATCTGACCTCAGGTGACCCACCTGCCTCGGCCTCACAAAATGCTGGGATTCCAGGCATGAGCCACTGCGCCCGGCCCCGTGCATCACTTTAAAATCAGTTTTTTGGCCAGGTGCAGTGGCTCAGACCTGTAATCCCAGCGCTTGGGAGGCCAAGGTGGGTGGATCAGGAGGTCAGGAGCTCAAGACCCGCCTGGCCAAGACAGTGAAACTCTGTCTCTATAAAAAAATAAATCCGTTTCTTTTGTTTTTAAAGATGGGGTTTCACCATGATGGCCACGCTGGTCTTGAACTCCTGACCTCAGGTGATCCACCCACCTCGGCCTCCCAAAGTGCTAGGATTACAGG